CCGTCGTGTCCTCTTTGACCGCGACCCGGTCGGGAACACCCAGACCCGGCCCGCTAGTCGAAGTGGAGGACGAAGAAGCGCCACATTCTGGGCACAAGACCCGCTCCATAACCTTCGACTGGACGTCGGCAAACACGGCACGAGCATAGGCATCGCAACAAGCGACTGGGTAGAAGCTGCTCATGACTCCGGCGGAAACCCAATGAGTGTCTCCGTCCTCGCACGGCACCTTGACCGATCCTCTGACCGGTCGATGAGCGTGATCCGTGACGCTCAGCGCGTCCGGTCGTTTGCACCGAAGAGAAAACCCTGAAAGCTCTTTGTTAGCCACCCATAGCTGCCCCTTTTCGACCGCCTGGCCTAAAGACCCATCGTTGACCGCCCGCGACACCATGCCGTACTGGCAGCCATCAGTCCGGACAACGGCCCACGGTCGCTTTGGATTATCAAGGGCGCCGATCTCTTCAACCAATGGCGCCGCCTGGAACACAGCACTCCCAACCGGGTTCTCCAAGGTGACCACACGCTCGTCTTCCTTTTGCTTCCGCAAAACCTCAACGGCGTGTTTCAGCATGGCCTCATCCTGCGCCGTTAAGCTGCCATTCCCGATCCTGCTGTATCCCTCGCATGGGAGACCCAAGTGGATCGCATAGGGCTCAAGCCAAGCAATGAGCAGGTCGACCAACTCTCGGTCGCCCCTCTGCCCAAGATCCCACCTTCGCCCGTATGAAGCGCACAAACGATCCACAGGGGGGGCCACCACGTAGCCCATCCGGCGGATAGCAGCAGTTAAACCACCGTGCCCCGAGTACAGCTCCAGGAAATGCACCTTAGTTGCTTGCTGACTGACAAGCCACTTCCGCAACACTCCGGCCTCTCCGGGGCATCGCTCAGCACCCACTGTGGCGCTGTAGACCAAGCCAGCAAACAGTTGCACCCACGACACTGGTTCGGTCCGCGGAATGTCCTGAACCAGGAGCATTCCCGCAGGACCCTCGCTCACCAAGCGGTAGCCCGCTTTATCAAGCTTCCGGCTGGTGCTGGCTGCGAGAGTCCCATTCCCTCGAGATCTCTGCCTTTGAGACCACTTCTTTCAAGCGAATCTGTTCAAGACAGGGCCTGGTCCCAGTCTCAGAAACTTCACCATCCTCATCCAGGAAGGCGAGGACCCACTTCACGCGAAGCGAGCCAGTCACCGGACGATACCGGTGGACTCCAATGAGCCCTTCTTCAACTGAGACCTGAGTCACACGTCCGAAAGAACAGATCTTCCGTCCCTTCGTATAGGCGACAACATCACCGATGCGGAGGACAAACTGCCGTCCTCGCCGCTGCATGACGAATTCACGTCGAGCTCCTTCTCCTTGGACCCGCTGCCCGATAGAGAGAGGCTCATCAGCGGACGCGCCCTCAAGAACAACATCCCTTGAGGCACGTGGCTCATCATCCATGTCGCCGGGAACGAGAACGCAATCTTCAGCGTGAGCATCGACCGGGCGGGCAGAAGCATCGGCAGCCAAACGAAGCTGCAGGCGGTGACCACGAACGGAAACCACCTCCCAGGGCCCGGACAGACCACGCTTCCAAGGGACGCGCCCCGCCCCCTCTGCCCGGGGCACTGGAGCTTGCCAAACAACACGGTCGCCGGCCTGGAGCTCCAAGCTGCGCCTATATCGATTCGCTAGCTTAGCTCTGGCTGCTGAGGCTTGCTCCCAATGCCGGGAAACCTTCCGCGACAGCTGCACAAACTGCCCAAACTGTCGCCGAGCCCATTCGCTCACGGGTTCAAATTGAAGGCTCTCCTTAATCAGGTCCTTTTCAAGATCCAAGCCTAAGGACCAGGACCGCTCCAAGTCTCTGGGCGTGTACCCATGAGGCCCTGGAGTGTTGTCGAAGGTACTCGACGAGAGGGAGGAGCTCGGACCATTCGTCGGTCTCATCGTTGGCGAGCTCCCGCAGGGTCACATGAAGAACCTTTTGCACCTCTTGGTGCATCCGCTCGTTGGCGCCCATTTCGCACGGTCTCATGGCCGTACTGAACTTCTGCTGGACATTCAGCAGGGTGAGGAATTCTGCCATCATCGCATTCTTGAATTCCGTCCCTCTGTCCGAACGGACTAGCGTCGGCAGCGTTCTGCTTCGAAAAATACATTTTCCGAACGCCCGACGGACTTCCGCGTGCGAGAGGGACCGAACCGGTTCCACAAGCACCGCATGGCTCAGGCAATCCAAATAGGTCAACGTATACCTGAATCCCCAGCGGTCCTCCCGGTTAGGCCCTTCAAAATCTACAGAGACCTCTTGCCAACAATGGTCGGCAAAACACCGCGAGACTCCTGCTTCGACTTTGCGAGGTCGAGACCTCGCCTTGAGGCAAACAAGGCAACGATCCACCCACTTTTGAACGTCCTCGCGCATTCCGGTCCACCAAACCGTACGCGCAAGGACCTTGTAGGTCTTGTCGCTGGACTTGTGGCCCCCCAGCGCCCCACTGTGCGCCATTTGAAAACATGCCCTACGCCAGGTCAAACCATTTGACGCCGCCTGCCCAACAGGGATGACCACAACCCAAACCTGCTCGCCTGTTTCCAGGGTCACGGACCGTTCCAAGACCCCATCACCGCCTACCCGGTATGGATCCCCCGGCCGTCGGAAGATCCCAGCAAGAGACCCGTCTTGCCTTTGACTGGAATACAGGGCGCTCCTTAGCGACCCCGTGACTGAAAACTCTGCTACTTCAGCAAAAGAGCGGGCATCCTGCGCACGCTCTGCCCTCGTTGGTCCTCCATCCTCCGTCCCGCGGCAGGGGTCCGAAGGCGGATCCCCCGCCCGCAGAGGTGGTCCATGGATCTCGGCTTCAACATCAATCGCTCCGATGCCCGTTGACATCGTTGACCTTCCGGACCACGAAGAGACCACCCAGTGTTTAGTACTCAAGACTATGACCTTTTTGAATTCAGCCGACTTTCCTACTATGGCGAGAGTCGGACGCGAATGACCCTCATCTACCCTGACCTTTTTCCCTAAGGCGATCGGGAGCCAGTAGCCTTCGGCTTCCTTCTTTTGGAAACACATCAGGACTCGCTTAGAGCCCAAATCCCTCCGCCGTCCGATAGCCTCGCTTCCGATGCCATCGTCCCAAACGACGGTTCCGGTTGGCTCGCCCACAAGCCAAACCAACCTTTTAAACTCGGCAGGCCACTGGGAAGAGTGCATCCCTTTTTGCCAAGTGGCCTCGCAGACTCGACTGAGCAGGAGGACGTGATTGAACCAGTTGACTTCCGAAAGCTCCCATGAAGCCTGAAGCCTTTTCGACTGGCTCACCTTTAAACAAGACTGGAGGACGGTGACTGTACCATCCTCGTGCACGCACCAGGCCGCGCGATAAGGAGTTCCTTCTGTGCCACAGTTAGGCAACTGCAGGTTCTTTCCCTTCGCCCAGGCGAGCCCGGCTACCTTTCCAAGCCTTCCAGGAAGGTCATGAAACCCTCCTGGACGCCCACTGTCCTCCCAAGCTTTAGCCCAACTTTGGACTAACCTAAAATTAACAAAACAAGCCTTGGGCTCATTCGGAGCCGTGGGGACGGCGCTCAATACCATGAGCTCCTCTGCTAGGAGTTCGCCATCCCTTGCTTCAGCGCCTTCTAGTTCAAGCGCCTCCCGCGCAGCAGCAGCTGCCCGAAAATCATCACTTGCCTCCTTTTCAATGCAAGTGGTGCAGCGCCCAAACACATAAGCCCGCTTGCCACATGAGCACCTTCCATCGTGCTCCCAGACATCCCTGCCTGGCTCCACAGCCAAGTTCATCAGAGGCGCCTCCGAAATGTCCTTGAGGACTCCAAGCCCGAGGATATCGCAAACTTGTCGCGAACTCTCCTCCTTTGGCGAGCGGGTCACCACCCCGAAACCCTTGGTCGGCTCTTCAGGAAAGACTCGACTGACCTCAGGGCAGGCCGCTTTCAGCAAGTCGCCCCCAGCTTGCGTCCTCCAAAGGCGCGGATTAACGCACCAAATGGACTTCACCCCTGACCATCCGGACACAACTTCCCGGATTTCCTTCCTCTGCAGATTACGCGCCTGCAGGGTGACCTCCACGACAAGCGGAAGTCTGAGCAGCCCAAGCACGACTGCTCCCCGTCCTACTCCAACCGCGAAATCAGGAAGGTACGAACCCATGGCTCGAAGCGCTTTGGCGCAAGCAGTGAGGAGGTCGACCCTCAACCTCTTCACTTGCCTTTCCCCTTTCAGGTTGGCAGTGGCACCGTCCAAGTGAGACGTGTTACCTACGTCATCTTCGAACGGGCCTTCTGATGCTCTCACTGCGATTTCCCAACCGGGCATCGCTCGGGCCAAAGTGCTCCTGAGCCGGACAATTTCTGAAGCATTCTCCATGTGCTTCGTATAGTCACCTAGAAAAAGGACCTTGAGCTGCCTGGTCCCTGTTGCTCCCGCGTAGAGTCTCGAAACGAGGACTCCACCACAGGGATCAGCGCCGTCCACTAGGCTAGCAGCCCCTGGCACTACATCATTACCGATAGCCCACGCCACCGGAATATCAGGATCCTCAGTGTCACCACCGAGGTAGGCTTCCAAGTCAAATCCCTTCAATTGACCAGCCATTCCTTGCAGATCCTTGGTCCGATTTTCGAGCAGCTCGTCCCTATCTCGAGGGTTTCGCGAAAACCCATCCCCGAGCTTAGCGCTCCGGCCGCTCAGTGACCTAATTTCGGACCCATCTGCAAGGATTTCAGCCACCCATCTGACTAGCTTCACGTCCGCCCCCACATCGATGTGTTGGGCCTTTGTCAGATTCGCGTGATCTGTCCAACATAAGGTTCGAATCGTTCCAAATGTTTTCCTTGTGGCTCTTTTCACCTCCAATTGAGCGAAGGCCTCCTGAACTAGAGGCGGCCATGCTTGCTGCGGCGGCGTGAGGCTTTTGCTGTGCGTGAGGAGCACCTTCAGCCTTGTGTGGTCTCTGGTCATCTGGACCACGGTACCTCCGACCGCAAACCCGCTGGCATCGGCCACCTGCTCAAGCGGACAAGCTCCGGAGATGGCGCTGGCCTCGTCAATCATAGCTAAGCTGATTGACTTAGCCAACATGCGCTTGATGGCCCGAACAGCCTTGCAGCCTTCTGTGCTGCCATATCCGAGCCCTTCAGGTGGGAAGGTCGCATCTGGCCGTTGGTAGCCAGTCAAAATTTTGGAACAAACACCGTACTCCGCGGGGAGGTACATGCGCAACCAGTCGGAGCATCCAAGAAATTGCTGGATATGGAGTTTCTCTCTGAGCGGTGCAAAGTCCATTACGGCCTTAGCTCGCTCAGGGTCTGGTTCGCTTCCATTCCTCCCAACGATGTGTCCCAACAGCTTGCCACCTTCCTTGCAGATCTCCGCCTTAGCCACCCCGTAGCTGAAACCAAAAACGATCGACTTGTCCAAAAATGCTTCAAGCGAAATCAGGTGATCCAGGAGGAATTGGTTGGCCTTGGGAAAACGCTTCTCCAGAGACCTCCTGAGCGCATCGTAGTAGCGCTCCGTTGGCGTTTCCTCTGCCATTTTGTCGATTCCGCCTGGCGCCTCCACTATGTGAAACACTGGCTCGGTCATGGTGCTCCTCCAAGAGCCTTCAGAACCATGACCCACCGCGTAGAAACGGGTTTCTCCTACCCATGGACGTCCCTTAAAGACCCACGGGTCGCCCTCACGCCACGAGTCTTCCCAAAAGAGAGACTCTCCATCCAAAAACTGACCTGTCGTGACCCTTCGAGAATCCAGCTGGTCGACATTCAGCGTGAGTGGGGCCGACGCTTCTTCACTAAACTCAAACAGCTTCTCCTGGGCCTCCGGGTGCGTTCGCACCCAACCACCGGGGAAGGTGGCCCACACTTCCTCGCGACGAGGATTCGAAAACGAAGTCCTCGCCCGCGATTCTTCGCGACGAAGGCTCGAAAACGAGGCCCCCGCCCGCGACCAGCTCTTTGACTCATATTGCGACGGGTCAAATGCGTACGCCGCAGTGAGCGCAGCTAGCCCAACCGCGAACGTGGCAAACACTCCATATCCCTTCCTTGACTCACGCGCCTTCCTAGGTGTTTTCGCGCGACACTTGCACCCCTGGAGTGGAGTGCTCTTGATCTCTCCCTTCCGACCGCACGAATAGCAGACTGAACCAATGAGGCTGGGCTGTTCCAATCCGCATTCCTGGCAGGTGTCCGGCTCTAGGCCGGCCGTCTGGCTCACGAAAACTGTGTCGACAGCTCCGCAAGAACAAGTCCCACTGACTACTGCACCTGCCCGGAGCTCTCCGACTGGATCGCCTTCTTCAAGGACGACCTCTTCCTGGTATGGCGTCACCAGGACCATGCCCTCACGAGCCCCTGTGTCCCAGATGCCGGGAACTGCTTCCACCTTGCCGGCAACTGGAAGGACCACTTCACAGCTCGAAACTTCCGGCGTCCAGCTGCCAGCAATTCGCACAGGAAGGAGAGCGCCTTCCCCAGGAAGCAGCGTCGCTCCTTCATCACCTGCATAGACTACCATGGCCCTTGGCCCGGTCTCCGGCTCCAGATGTCCCTCAGCCTCCTGGTCTACTGCCGAGAGGATGGACCGGAAAGGATAGGCTCTGTCCTTCCTCTCCGCACTGAAGTTCTCACAGCGCGGGAGATGCGCACCTAGAGAGTCCAGCACATGGGTCATGGGCCCAGGTCGAAAACCTAGCCCACGTCGCGCTTCGCAATCCAACGCGCGGCCCACAAGGATCAAACCATGGAAATCGCTAGTCCCCTTTGACGCGATCTTGCACCTCACGAACAGCTCATGTCCCGGCTTCGCCCGGTCCGGGTTGTCCCCTTCAAGAAGACGGACGCGGAGAACCACGCCACCCTTGAGCGGCACGGGTGAGCCGCTCGCAATCCCATGCACGTACTCTGGATACAGCCATTTTTCGAACTGAATGATCGGAAAGTTCTTGTCATTCGGGCGCAAGCCTAGCTCCGCAGCCCGATTGATGATCCCGACCACCAGCTCTTCCGTGATGTGATTGGACCCAGCGCATCCGTCCAACATCGTGTCGACCTTCTTATCAAGGATTTGCACGACGGTGCGGTATTGATAACCGCCAGGCTCATTCGGCACGACATGCCACCAATCCTTTGGGAGCTCGTCCAATTCGGTGAAGGGTCCCTTCTGTGGAACTCCAGGGGATGAACTCCGCGGCGCGGACGCGAACACGACGTCCGCACCCGCAGGTTGAGCCTGCTCTAAACCACCCGTCACCACACAGAACGCGGCGAACGGATTGAGCACGCTGTTCCCGCTTGGAGCTGCCCACCCACTTGGAGCGGAACCTTGTCCACCTCCCGAGCCCGTAGCACCGACATCGGTTGCCAAAACATGCGACATGTCACAGTCAGCGCCTTTCTTGCACGCGCCGTTCTTGGCAAAGTAAGGGCACTGCTTCTCGCTCTTCTTTTTCTTAGCATCTCCTGCCTTGCCCTTCCCTCCTTTGCCTTTCCCTTTACCTCCCTTTCCGTCGCCTTTCGCCGGATAGGAGTCGGACCCTTTCCCTTTGCCTTTCTTTTCAAGCTCCTTCCTATACGCAGCTCTTTGTCGTGCGAGAAAGGACAATCGCGACCCTTTCTGCAGCTCCCGTGATCACGATAATCCCAGCAGAGTTTGTCCTTGCGGGGATCTCCAGACGTGATCGCCACCTGATCGCCTCTGCCCTTTCCCTTGTTCGCCTCCTTGTTGGCCTTGTCCCGCTTCGCCTTCTCTGCTTTCTCCTTTTTTGCGAGATCCGCAGCAAGACGCGTGGCTTCGCCGGTGGTCGTGAACACGGCGTTGGCGGTGGCCTTGTTAGTCGCTTCTCGCTGCTCATACTCGAGGACGACCCGATGAGCCTCCTCCCAGGTCTGCGGCCCTCGGAGCTTGTCTTCGTGTCCCCAAAGCCGCTTGTCGGATCGAATCTCCCGTTGGAGACTGGTCCCAACCTTCCTCAAGTAGGAGAGGAAAAGCTCTCGCTGCGTCTTTCCAAGACCCACAGCTTCCAATTCCGCCACCGACGCTTCGAACAAAGGTTCGAACTGGTGACCAGTGAGCTTCCCCTTCATGAGCGCGACATGCTCCGCATCGACGCGGATCTCTCGCTCTTCTCGGCTCTCACTAAACATCAAATGTTTCGATTTGATGCGCTCATACACTGCTTCGGGGTCTTCCAGGACCTCTCCGGACTTCCAGGCGGACCGGTACAGGTTCTGGTAGGTCTTCAGCCTACTTCCCCGGCAGCGCGCTCGGAGAGCCAGCAGTTTCTCGCGGGCATTCATTCCACGGCAGGAGTTCGCTAAGGCGCACACATCCTCGAACTCCTCATAGAACAAGGTGACATCTTTGAAGTCAGAGCGCTCGTCTGTCAAGGTCGGCCAATGAAGGTCTGTTTTGACCGCGGTGACAGACTGGTTGCCTCCGCCTCGTCCCAACGCTTCCTGGAGCACCTTTGTTTGTGCCTCCAGCGCTGCCTTCTGTTGGGCCAAGGCGGCTGCTAAGCCTTGCTCCGATCCCAACGCTGAACCGGCCTCTGATTCGGCTTTCTCTCGTTTCATGGCCTCCAGCTCCATCTCCAGAGCTGCCAGCTTGGCCCTGAGGGAGAAATCCCCATCTTGTTCCGGTCCCAAACTAGGAGCGGGACCGGGCGCCGGCCGTTGGCCGCGTCCAACGTCGCGAAGACCGCTGACGGGACCGCGAGCCACAGGAACCGTTGCTTCCTCCGCTCCAGACGGAGTACTATACACCTTTCCTGGGCTCGAACTCGGTTTCCCTCCTAATTGTTCAATCAACTCACCGATCGCGGCGATCGAACTGTCTCTCTCTCGAGGGTCTAAGGTCTCATCCTGCGCGTAAGCTACGAACTTGTCTCGCAAGAAACGCACAGCTCTCACTTTGTCCAAACCCCCATGCTCACCATACAGTTCGATCATGAATTCCGCCTTTCTTGTCACTGTCTCTAACGGACCCGGCGGAACAGCTGCGTCCAAGGCTTGGAGAGCGGAGATGATTCGTCCCATACGCATCAGGTACGCTCCGAATTCCTCCGCCGAAGGGTCATACAACGCTTGCAACTTGGCCCGAAGGCTCACCACGCTGACTCCTCCAGTGCCAACTGAAGACGGGCGTGGGCTATTCACCAAGGCGACCTCACGAGACGCAACAGAAGGGGAGGCCGATGCCGACGGCCTCTCTTCCTCCTCCTCTTCATCGCCCTCGTCAAGTTCCGCCGCCCTGCCCTCGCCATAGAGCTCATCCATGACGCTCCTCCAGAGGGCTACTTCTTCACCTGTCGGCAGGCCTCTGCCGTCCCTTCTCCTTGTGGGCCTACGGCCGGCGGCACGTCGCCAAGCCTGCCACTGAGGGAACGTCATCTCTTCCGGGGTAGGCACCCTTCCATCCCGGATCGCTTCCAGCAGAGTGACGCCCTCTTCTTCTCCTGCAACTTCTCGGCTCATCCCGCAGCAAGGCCGTGAACCACGAGCCCCGCCCGCGGTTCCTCCTCACCAGCGCGCCGGTGGTGCGAACCGCAACCACCGACCGCGACCAGCCTCCACACACAGATGGAAGCTTTCCCAGAACAGCCCCCAATTGCGAGCACGCGTACGAACGCCGCGCAGCTGTTTCTGCTCGCACGAGCGAGGTCGCGGGTCAGTCACGCTGGTGAGACGGTGAAACGGCCTAGTGAAGCTGAGAAGCTACTTGCACTACTCCTAGCCACTCACTTGAGCCAAAAGTATTGGCCCTTGAGCCAAAAACAGTTCATGCACAAGTGAAACACACACATAAACACGTTTACGGGCAAGGCTACTTAGGCTCACAAATAATAGGCACTTAGTGATGTGTGTTTTGTTGTTCTCTATGTAATAGATGATAATAGTGGTCTCGGTCTCTATATCTACAAACTTCAAGTGTTTTGCGTCAACTGAGAGGGCTTTGCCACTGATAGGATATGCTATACTGTACGATGTAATAGTAATCATATGTTTGGGCACCAAAGACCTCCAAAGCGACAAGAAAGTCCCAGCAACATCGCATTCTTCGCATCCTTCTCTCATCCGCAGCCCTTTCCAACCCCCCCAAAGTCCCCGCTACCAACGCCTTTGTTTCGCATGGCGTTGGAATGGCCTCCGGAGCTTTGCTTCGATGGACTGTACACGACTTTCTTGTGCTGTGGCCCTGCCGAGCCCGCGGCTGAAGGGACGGGGAGCTGTTAAGTGTGTGTATGTGTGAGAGGGTTTGTCTTTAGAGGTCTTTCGTGAGCGTCCGGAAATCACCATCATCATCATCATCATCGTCATAGAGTCATACATCATACAACATACATTATACATCACCGTCACCATACATTTGCATCATCATCATCCACCATCGTCATGAATCACTCACTCCTCTTTTCGTTTTGCTTTTAAGGGTTAAACCAGGATCGGGGCGAACCTCTCGAACTCGCAGGGTTCGCCCCGCAAGCGGCCAGCAAGTCGGCGGTGGGGCCATGTCGGGTCGGTCGGGTCGAAAAAACACCTTCTGACCACAAGAAAATGAAAAAAACGTCGGATTGATCCAACACAAGAAGATGAGACATGAGAAGGTGATCATTAGAAATGGTCACAAATCAGCTGTTATCGTCCTCACGTGCTGATATTCTGAAGCTTCTACAAAGTGGTGTGATGAACTACCCCTTTCAACTCATGTCTCAAGCTTTGAGGGCCAATGATGAGACCTCAAAGCATTGGGACGTTTCTACGGCGAATGGTTTTTTCCACCCCCATCGGCCGACACGAGATCTCGTGCCTTTGCCGCAGATGCGACCCGATGCGGCGATACCCAACGCCCACGGACACCCAAACGCTCTACCATAGCCATATAGGAAGAAACCGCTATGGCACCTATGTGGCTGTGAGTGATGGTTTCATCACACCGTGATTTGCGGTGATTTCGTTTTTGGTCGAAAGAGTGCAAACCACCTATAGAAACTGCTGGGCAGGTAGGAAACAAAGGGGTCGATTCGAACATCTCCCAACTTTGTTGTATAGTAATTAGGCTTGACCACAGCTTGTTGAAGTACCACCATAGTTGTTGATGGATGTCCATGTTGAGGGACTTAACACTATAGCAGCACGTCAGCCAGCCAAGCTCAACCAAGCCTATTCAATGATCCCAAGCCTGTTTTGTGCAACCCAATTCCCTCCCTCCACCCGTTGCCACCGATCTTGTGGAACCAAAAGAACCACCCATTCCACCACCCTCCCGAGGACCTGGTCGAGGGCCCCTGCTGGAAGAGCCCCAGCGAAGCCAAGCGCTGCTGCCACGGCCGAGCCCTCTCGCTGCGCCACTCGATCGATCTCAGCCGAATCGATGCACATCGGAGCGAGTGCGGTTCACAGATCGGAGGTGGGCAATGGTAGTGGGCACTGGTTCAGAGCATGTGTCCTGTGCTTTGAGATCTTGACAGTTGAGTGCTTGAAATATCTTGACTCTTGACATTGACAGCTATAGGTACCACAACATTGACTTACAGGCGGAGCTTGAAGCGCTGGGTTTGGGAGGTTTTTGCCAGGCTTCTGGAGGGGCATTGGTTAAGCACCCTGCCGTGGAACCGCTGGTACCTGGTATACCTCCAGATCATTATCGAGATCCTGAAGATCCAGTCTTGAAACACGAGTGACTTCTGGTGGGTTAAAAGGGCGTCGGTGCCAGCCTGTCAAGCAATGTGGTGACTTCTGTCCAGACTATCCATGTATGGAATTTGTCACATACACATACCCCATGAAAATGACCCATCCATATAGGGAACCATATACAATACAATGGATGGTCTTTGAGATGGCATTGGCAAACCCATCGGCGCTTCGTCGACCACCTGGAACCTCGGCCCTTCGGGCCATGACTCTCACCAGTCACAGAGCTCGCTCGCTCGGGGGGGTGGTTGGGCTCGTCCCACCCCCACCTCGGTCCGAAGGCCGGATGTGATATGGCGCTTCGGGGGCCCGTGACGCCTTCGGCACCCAACTCGGCACTCCCAGTGCCTGGACGAAGTCAAGACTTCGACGCGACCAAGGAGAGGAGCTGGTCTCGCAGATGGAACGCCTGGAAACTCAGTGGCCCTGGTGCGGCGAGGCCAGCAACTACGTCCACAAACGGCGCCCACGCTGGGAAGGGACGGGCACAAGTGGCAGAGGATTGGAATCTGAAGCTCATTGAAGCTCAAGTGGAATGTGTTGTATGTCAACGTATGTCATATGTTCATCTTGAACAATTCTAGAATGTGTCCAGCCCCAACTCAGATGCCACTTGGCGACGTTTTTTGGGGTGTTTCTGAGACCTACTGCATCCAGTGGAATGGTCATCCGCCCCCTCCCAGAACGACCCTTTTGGGGCACGGCCTTCTGATGGCCAGTGGGGAAACCCACTCTGCGATGGACAGTCGTCGACATCCATGTTCCACTTTTCATTGAGTCAGAGGCTTACCCAAGGTAATGTTAGACTCCTGATTAATAACCGCCCCCCATTGCAAAACCATGTAAAACCTCTTGTTTATTAATCAAGAGTCTATACATGATGGATCTTTTCACTCATGGTCTTAAATTTCGATTCCCGCCACCCTTGGCCAATTGAAAGTCTCTCCAAGGTTCATGTCGCAAGGCATGCGCCCAGGAGCGGCACGGCAAGAGGTCTCAGAGGAGGATGAAGCTGCCCGTGCCGTCGATGGAAGACGATGGAAGCGGACTGGAAGCGGAGGGGAACTCCCAAAACGCGGTCATTGGCGGGTCATGGAAGCCAGGGATGTTGGGTCTCAGGCCGATCCTGCGGTCTTTGGATGTCTTTGGGCAGTATGTCCGTGTATGTGCTGAGGTCTTCAGAACCTTAAAAACCTCCCTCAAGACTCTTGGCTCAAATTCCCACATAGTCATTTATATTATATATATATATATTATATCGCTTTAAACAAAAAGGGGTCTTTAGCAATTTGAGCCAGGAGTTGAACGTAGCATCAAGCTCAGCAGCACGCACATAGCATCACTGTTTTTGAGGACCTTGGTCTACATACCAACCTGGTGACCATCACTTATTAACTCTTTCCTCAACATTGTACACTTGAAGAATGAAGCTCCTTACATATAAATCTATCACACTCTATCCAAAGCACTTGGAAGACGACCAAGAGAACCTACCAGGACCTATAATATCATAAAACCTATCGTATTCTACCGTGAGATATCCAACCCATCTTCGACCTCATGGTGCTTTCTCCGTGCCTTCGACCCTCGCATTGCCTCGGTGGAGCGCGCCCACTGAGGCGCCTTGTATCGTTTCGGCCGCTTGAGCGGGCACCCGAACTGCGGGCCGGAGGCGCTGCGCGAGGACGACGGCGCGGTGATGTTGGAGGCCTTTGACCGGTTGGCAGCACAGGCGTGGAGGAGGGAGATGGAGGATGGAATGGGATGGTGGAGTGTATTTGGGCTTTTGATGCCAATGGGGAGTGAACAAAAGTGAAATGGGGACTACTGCCTCACTTTCTCGTTAGTTTTAGGGTGGAGGGATGGCAATTGACACCTCCAGTGTGGAAGTGCGGATGGTGGTCTGGAGCGCCAGTATCCAAACGTTTTTGCATGTGTTTTCTTTTGTTTGCAGATTAAGGTAAAACTAGGCCTTTGAAGAGGAAACAAACATGTTGAGCAGCACCTTTGGCAGTCAATGTTGGTTGAACATGGTTGAACTATATAATTGGATGACTGTTTTTTTTCTGCTGGTCATTGCCAAATACCTGATCAATATGGTCGCCCTGCACATCAGATTGTATGGCCAAGTCCTGAATGATAACCCATGACAAGAGAAACAGATCTTCCAAACCGAACACATGTTGGATTGCATATTGCAAAAGTCATATTGCAACAGTCATATCCAAAAGGTCACAACCAAACATTGGATTGCTTAAAGATTGCTTCATGCCCCAACCTCTCCTGCAAGAACCACCTCTCTTGCAAGAGGTCACCAAACAAAAGAACACACACACACCCAACACCCAACAAGAGCGCCCTGGCAGCCTGGCGCCTTCCGAGCGGTGCGCTTCTGCTTCTTCAGTTCAGGTGCCCATGAGCCGAAAACTCGTGAACCTCGGCGGCGGCAGCTGGCGCGATCCCCTCTGGGCTGCCGGGCGAAATCAAGGGAAGCGGTGGATGTAGCAGTGGATGTAGTGCCTGGGGGAGGGGCAGGTGGACACTCCGAGAAGTTCGCGGTTGGAGCTGCCTGGAAGTGTCTGGATGCCAGAAACAGTTCAGGGTTCCGGCGCCCGAAGTACATCGGATGTGGCTAAGATCTGGGGAAAAGATGCGGTTTGGGGGTTGAGATTGCGTCTTGGAGGGTGAACTAGGGCTGAGTCTGAGGCAGCTCATGGCTAGGATTTTCATGTTTGGTCTTCAAGAGGTAAAATGTGTCAGTGTGAGTCCATGAGCAGGTGATGGAAAGCCACTTGCAGGGTCGCAGATTTTGTTGGATGCCATGAAAGGTGGGCTTATAAATCTTCTTATCTTCAAGTTCCTCCACTGCTTGTCGCTGTAGTTCTACTGTAAAATTCAGAAAGGGTTGGTCGCTGAAAGCAGACCCCCAAGTTCTCAAATGGAGACAGTTCATTATGAGACTCATGCTTTCATGCATTGTGGCCCACACACTTCAGGTGTAATCTCCTATTTCACTTCCTGCCCACCTACCTGCGCCCTCCACCCACCATCCACTCTGCACCCACCATCCACCAGGAGCCTCCACGGGGTTTCTTGGCCCAGGACTTGGCCGAGCACCGCAACGCCTCGGGCCTCTTCGTCGATCCTTTGGGCCCTCCGCGCAACGAGACGCCGCCCGACGCGAAGCGCGTGCGCTTCCTCCGGAGCTTCGCGGAGCCGGAGAATCTGGCGGAGCTGCTGCGGCGCGGCGGGCTGCAGGCGGAGGGGTGGTAGCACGAACCAAGGCCAAAGTTCCTCAGTTCTCGAGTGCAAGGTACTATTCACGGATCCACTGAAGAGTCCTTGTGTGATTTTCAGAGGGTAGACCGCTTTTGGCTTTGGCTGGGTAGACTGGTCTATTTCCCAAAGCTTTCTCGGGGTCGGAACGCCCCTATTTGATCGACACATCCGCACTGACCGGGGCAGTAGAGTGGATGGAATGGAAGCCGTGCAAGACGGGTGGGTGGAGGGGTGGAGAGCTGAACAACATGTAAACACTGCGGTTTCAGGGGACTCCATTGGGGTTTGTGTATCAAAAGATATCAAAAGGTTCCATTAAGCAGGACAGACCCTGGTGCCCTTTGTGAGAGCCTTTTTGAGGGAACTGCTGGCTACTGAAGCTTTGACATCCAGAATGTCAGTCAGTGAGTGAACCCGGGCTTGTATAGAGAGGATGTTTTGATTGACATCCACATGGATGTGTCAGGAGCCCTTGACAGTGATCCTTTGCTGCGCAAGGGTCAATTTGGAATGAGTGTCAGCTGGACAGATGCGAATGTGGGTGAGACAGTAGAGGGACTCTACGAAGTGTTCAGGGGTGTTGTCTTCTTCTTCTTCTTCTTTTTCTTCTTCTTCTTCGGAAGAAAAAAACTATGATTGCTGGTCCGACGATGTCCAGTACTGTCATCATTGAAACAATCAACCAGCAGAGATAGCACAACTGCCGACATGAGGCTGGGTTTCCAGGAACGTATGTTACCGTATGTTGTTAAACTGACGTGTTCTTGATCACGAGATCAACAAAAGTAAGTTTCAAGACAGTCAGGTCCATCATTTGCGTGAAGCCTTGGTGTAGTACACTATACGTAATACGTCAATTTGTATATACTGGATGGTGGGACTTCTTGGGCTCTACGTCAGACCCTCAGACCCTCAGACCCTATCAGGTGGGCTTTGATCGAGGCCCTCTACCAATCGATGTACTGAAGCCTGGGCAGCACTCGGTCAGAGCACCGGTGACGACCCGACCCCCCAAAAAAACTAGAGGTGATTTGGGGGATGTTCCTCCAGTTGTTTGATCAAGGGGTCTTTGAATTCGGAACCCTCAAAGAGATCAAGGGGGGGTGTCCTGAGTCCACTCCAACATCTCCTGCCAAGTGACTTCGATCAAGCTTCGGCTTGGAACACAAAGCTTCCCGAGATGCCCTGAACTTGGAAACTGGGGTGGAATTGCGTTGATTTCTCTCCATTCTTCAGGCCAAGGGCGTGAAGGCATGACTGTCTATCTACTATGTTGGACGATCTTGGACGTCACTTTTGTTATTTGGTTCCGAAACTCTGGTCGCAAATGAATGGCCAGGAAAGTCGATGTGGATGGCTGCGACTGTGTGTTAGCAGCCTTGGCCCTGCGCTTGCTGCGCCGCTGAGCTTCGATCATCCGCGCCTTCGATTTCCGTCGACGTGCCGATGCGTCTCAACGACACTCTTCGTACGCGACGTCACGTACCGATGCGTCTCGGGCGTCTCTCATCGACGTCACGTGCGGCCCCGAGGCCCCAAGTTCATCATCATGGAGATCAATTGGAGCATTCCTCCGCCCTTGCGCTTCGTGAGACGATCCATCTGAATTGCGAGTCCGGTGTGGGGGGAGGTCCGGTCCGGTGTTTCCGTGTGGTGTTTGCGGTCGGACGAGGTCTGTGAGGTGGTTTTCGATGGTTCAGGGTCTGGGAGGTGATAGAAATGTGCAAGAGATGGGCCCAGTGCGAGGAGACAGAGTGAAGCTGACCTGGCGTCGTCACCTCCGTGGGTGAGTGTAGCCTTGGAGATGCAGATCTTTGTTCCAGACTTGTTGTAGTCTTCCAGACTTGTAGGCCCACGTCGCCCCATTGTAGGCCCACGTCGCCCCACGGTGGTCCAAAGACTGCCGAACGGTCCTGGAAAGGGCACGGCACTGGACCGTGCGATCGGCCGACCTCTCGGATTTCTCCAAAAAAAAACGTCCTATAGTAGTTTCTTTGCTCCTAGTAATAGTAGTAAGGCCAGGAACCCCTAATAGCGTTCTTGTTCCGTTCGTAGCGATGCCCGAAATGCTCCGTTCGTACCGTCCTATGTTGGACTATGGTCATTGGAGCCTCCGTCGCCTACAGAATGGTGTCTCCAATCGCCTTCTCAGAAGGTGGCAGTGGATCCATGGGGTTGGACTGGACTACACCAAATAGATCATAACCCCAAGAACCCGGGCCCAAACCAAAACACAGAGGTTTTGGTTCGGGTCCGGACCCCGAACCTATAGGAGAGTCCAACCACTATACTATGGAGGGCCCAAGGATTCTTAAGGTAGTCAGCTCTGTTCTTCAACTTGCTGTCAAAATTCGTCGAAACCTGAGGACAATGCCATTCTGACTGGAGCAAATCCTGGGCCAAGTGGCTTGGCCTTGGCTCGGCTCGTGTTCGGCAGCAGCTTGGAACAGAACTGGTACCTTAGAGTTTCTTCCAAGGTTGCTGGCATTGCTGGATCCAAGCAAGTCAAGTTGCTCATCCAATTTCTGATACCCCAAGTCGTTCGAACCGGTGGTCGCACGCGTGGGGAGGGATTCCAACCACATATAACATCCTATATAACTTATTTTGATGAGCCAAAGGTGGAACATTCAAGTCTCCTGGGCTAAGTTGGACTCATGGGCCATCATGGACTCATGGCCTCATAGGTTCTTTCTGTGTACATTCAACCCTCCTGTACCCCTCATAGGGGAAGGGCTGTGTTCCCTCTCAGGACTGTTTTTCAGGCATCAGGTGTCCAGCGCTCTAATTAAGGGCTACTGCACTCGTGAGTCAGCTTCAGAACTTATGCTCGATCCGTTGAGCTTTATGATGCTTTATGTGTGTGTGTGGGGATGAAGATCGTTTTGCAATGTTTTGCCGTGTATTTCAGACTTTCACCACTCTTGACTCTTGGTATTCAACTGGTATTCAAGATCTCCATTCCAGCACGAACATTGTGGCACGCTGCATAGGTCTATTTCCCTTCTTCCAGCAAAGTCATTGCCTGGGAGGTCTCCCTATTTGGATACACAACCCACATGAAATTGGAACATAGAGCCTTGGAGGACGATGTTCCTTTATAAAGTGGAAACCCACATTCCATGTGTGACGTAGATCCAAGTACTTCCACTGCCCAGCTGGGTGGGGTGTGTAGCTCGGGAGACTCGACCGACCAGTAAGGCTACCCTCGCGGGGTTCGGTTGGCGCTTTGGAGCATGGGTTGGCGTCTACTAGCCTTCTCCCCCAGCTGAGAAGATCGAGTGCGTCGAGTGAGCTAGCTCGGCGGGGGTCTCCCAGGTATGCTCACCCAGCTGGTGGTTTTTGGATCTACCCAGCTGAGAAGAACAAGGTCTCTGAGAACACGAGGGGAGAGGCTCTCCACTACTAGCTCACCCACGACGTCTTCCAGGGAGCGTGGTCTCGGTCGACAGGTGGAGCTCCGTGGGGTTTCGCTTCACCAGCCACGGCTGCTCCTTGAGCGGTGCCTCGGCGGAGTTCGCCCCCTTCGGCTACAGCTTGTGGCGCCTGGCGGGCATGGTGAACGCCGTGACCAGGCTGACAGCGAAGTGTGGGGAGCTGCACGGACTCAGTGAGGGGGGTTGAATGAAAAGAGCTCACATATCATACATGAGATGGTGTGAAATCATTGGAGAAAGCTTGGGTTTGGAATGGTTTGGATGTTAACTTGGTCATTTGTTGATGGTTTTTCCCACGTGGTCAGACGAATGTTTGTGCGGCTCGCTGACTCTGCTACGAGTCGCACAAGACAGTTCAGTGTTTTTGGAGACAGGTCCTTCATCCTCTTGCATTTCCCTCCGAGAAAGACGCGCCCAACAAAAACAAACCGCCCTCCACAGATGTTCAATATACGCAAAAGCACGGGCGCCCTGCTTTTCATCTCCCTGGAATTCTGAACTCCGACCAGGATTCGTTTTTGTTCCCGCCGTTGAGGTCTGGGTGCATCGGGAGGTGGCTCATCTGCTGGGCGCCGAAGTGGACGAAGTGAACTGCTTCAATCGCCACTGGGCTGCAGGGCTCTGCGCTGCACCAGCTGGGATCCGGCCATGATCTTCCAACTTTGCATGTCCATTGCATTTCACCCGCCGCAAGTGTTCAAAGTAGAGGCCAGTATAGGTGGCCAAGGAACCTGTGATCACGACTTGTGCCATTATATGCCCAAGTTCTGTCGAACCTTCATCCATAAAGAAAAGCCAAGTTAGGCAGAAATGTGGCAGGCCGTTGGAAGATCTAGGTATCACCACCCCAGGAACCCGGGTGGGGTGGAGATCAAAACCGCTCCTGGTTTTGGCATCCCTGATCCGCTTGGACGTGGAATTCTTCATCCCATCCCACCCCCCTCCTTCCATCTCCTTCATCCACAGTCTCCAGATGCTTGGCGGAGCCCCGATTTGGTGCGCTACTTGCACTGGAGCGTGATCCATGATTGGCGCACTGGCCCGGTGCGTGCCGCGCTGGCACATGCCTGGGGCAACTTGACATGTGCCTTGGGCACCGGATCCGGAAGAGTGTGGCGAAGGATTCGGGATGACGGCTTGGCATTTGCTTGGGCACCCCATAAAAAACATGGAGAGGTTTCTGCATCCGAACGTCATCACTAGATGATTCGGAGCTGAAACACATCTCTCTCGACGCAACACCGTTCTGCCCACCGTACGTCCAGTAGCGCTTCTTCGTCATCGGAGCTGACCGGCGGACCGGGTATCTCTTCTCACCGGTGTCGTTGAAACGATGCTTTACCGTCATCACCTCTTTATGATCACCTTTACACCAAGCAACAAGTGCAACATGTGCAACATGTGCAACATGAACATGGGGGGCCAGCTCTGTATCAGAATGATTATAGGGAGAATCGACAGATTTGGGTGAGGATTGCTGTAAACGGAAGCCCCCAAAAGAGAGAAGCCCCCATTTCACTTGGCAGTCCAATATCGTCATGTCAAAGCTGGGGAGTGTTCCCAACCTGGCTTTGGCGCAGATGTTAACATCTCCATGTCTCCGGACTCGGTCTCAAGAGGTCCTAAGTCTCCGTCGGTAGGCCGACTCGGCGAGGGGTTTGGTAGGACCAAAAGCGATCCCTATAAGGATCCGAAAAGACCCTCCTTAGGGGACGAACCCTCTATCTCAAGGGTTTGTATACTCTCAAAACCCTGGTTTTCTTTCGGGTGCGACGTAGCTCCACGGGCGATCGACACGGACGGGGCGGTCACTACCAGAACGACCCGAGGGAGTGCAGTCCGTGACCAAGGGTTGATTCTTGAATGGGACCATCCTGTCCCAGTGTGCATACCGGTACAAGGGTTTTCCTCCCAGGGGTCGTACCAAGGGTACATGCCAGGACCATCCTGTTTGGGTGTCCTGGCACTACCCTACACGTCGGGATCTCCAGCCAGGACCACCCATTTTGGGTTCACGGTCCAGGTATTTGTCTCGTTCGGAAAAAGAGAGAGGAGCTACCAGAATCCGAAGGAGACCACCGTCGATCGTCTCTATAGGTGCGTCCGAACACCCATCTTCAAGACCATCTCTCCGTTGCACAGAGCGACCGCGTTTGGGTCGTGGTGGAACACCCCAAGACACCGCGTGCTCGTGCTCGCGCTCCGCGTGGCGCACCCGGCAGCACACGGGACCCGTGTCCTTCGCCTTCCGTGTTCAGCGCCCGGCAGCACACGCCCGTTTGACACGTGCGTCAGGCTATGATCGAGTCTTTGGGATTGATCACATCCCCTTCTCGCTCGGCGTGTGACGGTCCAAAGAGAAGCGAAGCGTTCTATGAGCACGGGGCGAGGACGTGGGTCGAGAGAGCCCGGCACCAGTAGCCCTTTCCGGTCGCCCTTTTTCCAGGTTTGGGTGGGAATTCCAAGAGGGTCTTCTTTGGGGAACTGTTCGATGGCCAAGTTGAAGTCGCAGGTGGTGACCTGTTGGAGGGTGTGTGGAGATAAGCGTATTTTCCCTCGCCCTGCAAAGAGGTCGGGCTACGTGTTGCCGGAGTCGAAGCCAAAGCCCATCGGCAGGAAGATCAAGGCAAGCATGGGGGGATCCCGAAAAAGAGGAGAGGTCGAAAATTAAGGCTGACAGGGTCGACACCAGGATATATCTGGAATTTGGTTCCACTGACTAGTCTGAAAGCAAAGTTTTAATATGTTTCAATTCTGTGGCAAAACACTGGACCATTGCTTTAGATGAATTTGGATGGTATCAAGGGCTGCCTTCCTTTCTCAGGACCAGTAAGACTATACTTACCTGCTACCTGCGGCTGATTAGATGGCTGAGAAGTTTGTGGCCTTGACTTTTGGGTGAGTGGCATATACATGGGCTAGTACATGGGCTATTTACATGCAATTCAGGACTTTTCAATTTTAATTTGATCAGTTGTTTTGGATGTTGCTGTTAGTAGACCGAAAGGAAGTCACCTAAATTGAGGTCTTGGCATGAGGAGAGTAACCTTTTGAATCACTGCGAACTTGTTTTACATACCACTTCTTAGTCTCATCGCGTTAAGGTGACACATCCAAACCATTCCAAACCTGTTTGTACCCGTCCATCCCCAAACAGGCCAACACCTCTTCCAACCCGCTCCTTGGCCCTTTCAGCCGGCCTGCCGCGATCGGACACATGAAGTACCAGGTGTTGGCACTTCATGGAGGAGGATCGAATGCCAACATCATGAAATACCAGGTCGGCGGCCAAAGTTTGGGCGCAAAAAACATACCTGGATCTTCAGGGGGTGTCCTGTCTGGAGGTCCCTTAGTAGTGTAGGGGCTTCCAGCCAGGTGACCCCTTTGAAGGTGCTGGTAGACACCACCACAGTCTTTTTTGCCAGGCTAGATGCCTGGCATGTTTGTAGTTGTTTGATTTTGTTCTTGTTAGCCCCGACATGTGTGCCCTTTGCGTGTGGTTCGCCATTTCAACTCACCCATTTCTACTCTGAGGGATCTATTTAGTCTGGAGCCTGGCAAGGTGAGCTTCACGATGAGTGCCACGTGTGTGTGAATGATGCGTGCCACGCAAGACTCAATGAGGACCCCTCCTTTTGATGCTTCCATGCACGAGAAAGAGGGAGAGTTGATCTTCTTCGGTGGCACATTGGCTTGGGGGTTATTTTGAGAGTCCAACATAGATTTGGGAGGGTACTCGTAACATATAATATGCTTTTGCACTTGGGATCCAACGTGAATGTGTTACAGTGTATATTCAGTGCCTAAACACTCAAGCCCAGGGTTTCAGCTGTCGTAAACCAGAGGTACGTCCTCCAAATCACCATCATTTAGAGGAGTAGACGTTCCTTCTCCAAGTTCGTGTCGAACTGTTTTGTTCAGTGTCCCCAATAGAAACGCTCATGTTGGGTTGCAGAAAAGGGAAGATTCTAGCCTGCGTTTCAGATTGCCACCAACCATCCCAAGTTAGCTAGCAGCTCTGATCTCGTTGCTGAAGTAGCTCTGATTTATTGTCCTCAGGAACAGCTGCTATTGATTTGACCTTCTGCCACGTGTTTCGCAGAGTGAGAAAACACCAGGGTGGTTTTGGTGCAGGTCATGCCGCTGCGGCGTGCCCTTGGGGATCAGGCCAGGAGAAGCGGAAAAGGTAGGTGAGGGATGGTGAGGGAGTCTGAATTTTAAGCCCACCCTACTGGCGATGGCCTCCAACCTAAAAGCGATGGCCTCCAACCTACTAGGAAATAATATATGTTATTTTGTATTGAGCTTTGTGCCACACGATCTGTCATCTGTCATTGCTGAAATCAGGCATAGCACAAATGCTGGCGATGTCAAAGGCTAGGCGTAGCACCGCCAAGTTTAGTATATGATAGTTTTCTCGCGCAAAGGATGATGACTTAGGAAGTCACGCGCTTTCTATCACAAGGGATCAACTGTGATCGATTCGTCTCCAGAAAATGGACCAAGTTCTTCCATCCGGCCAGTCCATGGCCGGAAACACGGCCCAAACACCAGGCCGAGTGGGAGTTCCTCAACGGCGGCCGAAGTTGGAAGTGCTTGGGCCGAACAGGGGGAAAGTGAAAAAGGATTGCCTCAGGTTTGGCCGGTTTGTGTGCTTTTTGTGTGCACCTGTCATTTTTTCTGGATGGCTGACGGTAGTTGTTAAGGTTCCCCACCCAAATCTTCGCTAATTGTTTGTCACATGCAAATTACAACTCAAGCAAAGGTGCGCAACCTAATGTGAAACCCACACAAACTGAACCCAACGTTTAAACAAGTGCCTGACTGAAGTTCCGTTTCCACACAACACAAGCATCTCAGCAGGGTTGAGTTGAGACTGATTGCACTCTGCCCAACTTACCTCACGCTTTCAGCTACTAGTACCAATAAATACCAGTACCAGTATATCATATCGATGACTACTTCAACCATTTGGACGGCAGTTCACTATCGTTCGCAGGCATCATGTTTTTGTTCTATGTTCTCAATACGCAGCTGGCGGTGAGGTTCAACGAAGGGGAAGAGCCACCAGAGGTCATGAAGGCCGCGGGTGAATCGCCGAGCCCAGCGGGGAACCCCCATGGCAGTGAAGACTCGAGTCGGAAGCGAAGAGGGTGCTGCTTGGTCGGAAGCGAAGAAGGAAACAGGAAACCCGGGCGACACCGGTGTTTGACGGGTTTCACGGACGTCGAGGAGTTCAGGTCGTGACAGGTGGTTTTTTCTACGAAGACTTCGGGCACTCAATCACTAAGTTCCAGCAGATGTTCTTTTCCAGCTTCAGGTGGTGGGTGTCTCAAATCCGACCCTTGCAGGTCTACTGTGCCTGGCGTGTCGGGGGCTATCCACAAAGGCTCTTATCCACCTCGTCCACCGTGACAAAGACATTCTCTACCATTCCGAACTCCTCAAAGGCTTGCAAAGTTCGAATGCTCATCCAAGTCCAACGCCCAGAGCAACTGAAGGGCCCTGAAGACGACCTGGATCCACCTTCATGAGCAAGAGATCCAAGTGTTTTAGTGGGTGGATTTCCACCCTACCGATCCATCGGGTTCCCCGGAGAGTCCAGGCTTCTGGAGGATCTTGTGTGATCGTACAGGCCCCTCATCAACCTTAACCCGATCAATTCGTAGTCACCAAAAAGCATTCCCAGACACGACGTGTTTGGGACTGCCATAGGACTGCCGCCCCATTGACCCCCCTGGCACCACCCCAATGTGGGTAAATATGCCGGTCCCATGCAGTGTCTGAGATTCAAGACTCAAAACCAAAAGCAGTTGGTGACGATTGATCCCCGACATCTTTGTATGTCGTGGGTTGACACCGTTCTGAGCTGGGCGCAGCGGCAGAGCTCCAAAAAGAGGATACCTCAATTGACTCAAAGACAATTCCAAGTGCCTTCTCAGAAGGTGGGACTGGGGTGGGTGCCAGGAGGGTCCAGGTGCCTTCTGAGAAGGTACTTGGATCCCTATAGGGACTGAAGACAATTCCTGTGTTGATGAAATCCATGAAACATCACCACGGCCCAATGCCCCATGCCATGCTGCTCCGATGGCCAGGCTCTCGCCGCTGGGATGCCCTTTTATGGATGGTATGCGGCCCCTTGGAGTCCAAAAACAGATTCGCATGCTCGGCGTCGTCCGTCCGTGCGTTGTCCCACGCGGAGTTGGGGTGCATTGCAGTTCGTGGAGGACGTTTAGAACATCGGAAGACGTTCAGGACGCACGAAGGACCTTTGGGATGGAAAGGGTTTGGGGAGGTCCAAACGGAGATGCTTGGACGTCGGGGTTGAGCACTTCATCAAGGAAGTGGCAGGTTTGCTGTCGTTGACCTGTTGGAGAATAGCAGTAAGACAGGTCGTTTGTCATTGTTTTCTCCTTGCTGTTGTTGTTGTTGTTGTTGCGGACATCAAAAGAGCCAACCAAGAGCACTGGCACCCCGTTGACTCCGAAATTGAAAGGCAGTTTGGTGTGTGTTTTGGGAACGCGACTGGAGGCTCCTGAAGTGGCTTTTGGCCGAGAAGTGTGCCAAAAGGCATGGGTTTGTGAGTGCGTTTCACACGGCACTGGAAAAGGCTATGAAAGCCGAGCTTGGTCGATTGCAAGTCGGAGACGAGGCTCATATAAACATTGCCAGGATCAAAGCGGCATCGGTCCAGGATCGGCATGGGTTTGGGAGCTTTAGCCATGGAGTAAAACAGCGGGTCTTTGGACCGGCCCAGCTCTCTTGACTTCGGACTGGCTCCGCTGTCACAGCTGTCGCAGATCCGAAGATGAAGACGAAGACGACTGGTCCCACAGACTGAAGAGATGATCCTTTGGTTGCTCGTTTTACGGTCCCAGACAGACCCCTTTATAGCCCGTCTTGGCCGTTTTCTCCGAACCTTCTAGGGGGGTCGGAACGACGGCGGTTCGGTCTCCCTCTGTTACTACATCCCTGGACCCCCAGTCGGGGTGGTTCATGGACACCCCTTGACCTCTTTTCGGAGCTATTCATGGACACCCGGAATCCGTGGTGCTGGTCCAGGTCCATATCCATATGCTCTGTGTTTCTTCGTCTCACCAACCATTCTCAAGTTGCTACAGTCTAGAACCATGTCAAACCTTGAAGACACGCCATGAGAGGTTTCGAGCTTTCTTTGCTTGTCTCCGGTCCTCGTCTAGACGTCTAGAATCGGCGATCTATGCCCGACTGCACCACCAAGGTGCAGCACAACGACACCTCCGACCGGCCCTATCAGGACCTGGCGGACCTGCCGACCACACCTAATGGAACCACCAACACCTTCTGACCACCAGACCTTTGGCCCACCTTTTTCCACAGGACCATTTGTTGCGCTGATGTTCGACCGTGGGCTTTCCGCATCCAGATGCTTCGACCGTGGATGGTTGCGGGTTGTTTTGAGTATCAAAAAACGTGTTCGGTAGGGCTCTTGAGCCAACCAAGTCAGTATAAACCAAGAGGATCTTCAAGACATGTTGGAAGAACAGGACACGCCCAAGCATGAGGGGATGCTCAGCCCAGTGCCAAGCACTTCTTTTTCCCGTATTAGCCTGTTTGGCGCTGTGAGTCACCATTTGGATGTGTGAACAACTTTGAGACATAGCTGTTGGCTGTTGTAGAATTTGGTTGCCAGTTCATGCTTTTCACATGCTGTTCACCATGCTGTTCACCACTACCGCCACAAGGAGAAGCTCTTTGATCCCGAAGTAGACTTCACCTACTCCGAGGCACGGGATTCAATCTCGCGCGTGACGTGGTGAACGGAAGAAGTGACCCCAGACCTCCAGTCGTACCTCCTCAGATGGTCTATTTGGACCCCGAACATGGCACCCATCCCCCACCTTCTCAGAAGGTACTTGACTTGAAGGTGTAGGGTGAGTCTTTTCACCCCGACGGTTGGAGGGTTGCTATTGCGGTCGCCGCAAGTTGGCCTGGCCGACGGATTGGTTCACCCTCCTGTCAAGTTGTTCAAGGCCTTGGGCCTTGTCGACGGACCATGTATTACTGTATGTAAGCGGTTGACACAGCTCACCGATGCTCAGGTCCTTTGGCCTAAGAGCTGTGGTTCTAAGCTCTACGGTGGACTAGCGACCGTGATAGCAGACCTTCGCTCTTCTTTGATCCAAAGTCGACTGGAGGCGTCACACTGCTGACAGTCGCAATGTTCATTCATTGCATGCCCCCTTCTCCCTCCTAATGCAGTCGAGGCGCTAGATTCACGTAAAAAAACTTCAACACAACCGAAACAAACCAACCAACACGAGAAAACCAACGAGGAACACGGTCGGATCCCGGTCCGGGACTATTGTGGGTCTTGTATGTTTTGTGTGGTGTCTTGTGGAATGTGATTGTTCTCAAGTGGATCCATGTTCTGCTCTTTTCGCTTCCTTGCTGAAGCCATGTTTATGTCTTGTACTATGCGCCAGTGCTGCTTCATCTTGTAGAACATCTGCAGCTGTCTCTGTTCGTTCTTCGTCAAGGAGTTGGAGAGCTGCGCATCGCTGTGTACCCATCGAATGATGACTCCATTCCTTAGTTGTCCATGCTTGAGGCACATCATTTCTATGTCCACTCTTCTTTCATTGCCCTTAGTACAGATCACCTCAGTCTTCGTCTTATCGAACACGTTTCGAGAGTCCGTGATCAGACATCCGGGGATCCGATTGACCGATTCGTTCACGGCACGGATGCGAACGGTGTGACCGAGCATTTCCGAGAACTGGAATCGAGCGAAAAACAGGGCATCCTCGGCGTTAACCGCCGCAGCCGTTTCACTAGCTCCTGGACTCCTACACACTCTTTGAATTCGAGAGGAGTTCCATGAAATGGGGGAAACAGCTTCACAAGATCCTTTCAAGAGGTCCAAACTAGCAGCTCCTATCAAAAACCCTTGAGTGCTACCACCATCAGTCCGGTTTTGTGCGGCAGCATCACACCACACAAACAGGCCAAAGTGCTTCAAATTCACTTTTGGGATCAACATTTTATGTTCTTTCATGGACTTGACCTGATTCATCAGCTTATTTGCTCGATGCAAGGTTTCGACGGTACTTTGTGAGACTTCTGAAAGAAGCAGACTTGTTTCTGCTGCGAAGTGAGGAGCGGTTTGCTGTGCTAGCCAGCTGACTCCGCCCAGCAGGGTTCTCAGCTGACTTTTCTCCCAGTCATCCGTGGTTCCATGCTTGTCTTGCTTGCGATGAGCTCTAATGTTGATGTATTTCAGGTCTTCGATGTAAGATTCTTGTGACAAGGCATATGTACCGTCTTGGGATCGCTCCACACGAACCCCGCATTGTACAAAGCTGTCCTTTTCCCAGTCTGACCATTTGTATTGCTTTTGTATTGCTGTCAGAATTGACTGCCAACCTGCATGGTCCTCGTTTCCGGAGAAAACAAAATCATCGACGTGTCCCGAGATGAGGCCTTGTAACTCTCCTTGGGAGACATAGGTCCAACAACACGGGTCTGACCAACAACGACGAAGGCCCTGTGCATGAAAGAACTCACTGATCGACCTATACCACTCTAGTGGCGCGTCGACTAAGCCATAGCAGGCTTTTCGGACTCGTGTCAAGGTCTCTGGAGCTAATCCCATTGCTGCCAGAATCTCTGGACATGGAATGCAAAGGAGCTGATCTGGGTATTCACGGGACTGTAGAAAGGCTCCCGTGACATCTCCTTTCCAAGTCTGAAACCCTCTTGCGGCTGCTATGGTCAATTGTACCTGTCGAGTCTGTCGTGTTGTGGTTGGTGAGGTAGTTGCCCTTCCTTCGTATCCAGGATCCTGGTATCCCAGGAGTACCGCACGTGCCTTTGCCTTCTTGCCACCTCCTGGAAGAGCCTTCCAGGTGAGGATCCACCTCATGCGGACAGCATCTTCCTTTCTGCCTCTGTAGCCTGCTGGTAGTGCTTCGAATGCTCTGGCTGCAATAAAGTTGGACACTTCAATTGCTTTGGCTTTAGTGAAGGCCTGTCGGTCTTCTTCTGTCATTCTCTTCTCTGACACCTCAATTGCTCGTTTCTTCATGGCTGAGACCAGGAAGGCACTGAGGTCCTTAATTGCACGTTCTGAGGCTCCTCGGGTTTGAGGCATGTCAATAAGTTAAATTCGTGGTACCCAGCTGTTAAATTAGATTGATCAGCTGTCAGAGGTTGAGATACCCACGGCTACCGCTACCATACCTGGACCTGATGCCAAGCCAGTGGGTGCATGGATGCCAAATTGCGTTCAGGGTAAAAGCAAAGTAAACCTGGATGCCAAACAGTGTGTTGAACAATTCCCTTTGGGCCGGTAACTCGGAAGTTTCATGTCCAGAATATATAATAAACACAATAACATAACATAGACATGTATGTTGAACATATACATGAAGTGCTCATGCCCAGAAAACAAACACAACATCTAGCATCGGTGCGCTACCTTTTTTCTGCACTGAACTTGGTAAAGTAAAACGTGCCACGCCCACACCACAGTACTATGTGGGCACACTAGCTTGCATTCACCAACACGTATGCCCCTCTCTCAACCCAGGGCTCTAGAGCGTATGCGCCAAAAAACTGTTGTAAACACATGTAGTAAACGCAACGTGTTTCACAAAGATTGTAAGTGAGGCTGTTGGAAGTCCAACATTCAAAATTCCACTCTCAGGATCTCTCAGGCAATACCTGGCACAGAGAGTGTGGACATAATTTGCAAACACATGCATCCTGAGGGATTAAGTAATTCAACGAACCACATGATCATAACTCTTTTCCCTCACCTTGAAGCCGTGGTGAAAGTGAAAATGAGCTTTGTACTCATGCCAGCATACGTGGCCACATACGCATTGCATCCGTGTTCACAGACCTTGTTATTCCCCTCAAGGCCAAACACGGTTTTCCGCGACCCATGTTTGAAAATTAGATTTGAACCCCTTTGTCACTTGCCATCACTGCCGCACGCTCCTGGGATTCCATCCACTGCTGGTGGGCAGCCTTCATATCACATCCATTTGCCATAGCTTTCCTCACCTTACTGCGTAGACCAGTGCTCTATAGAGTACAGGTTTCAAAATTCAAATGTGATCCAAAAAAACTTCTATAGAACCAAAACGTGTTCATGCAATGTTTAGGGACATAGTCCCAGCGGATCTTGTGTTTATCCGACTTTGGTTTCTGTGAAGATGAAGAAGAAGCTGCTGCTGGCGGTGTGGTTTCCACTGCTTCCTTGTCATCCTTTGCCGTGCTCCTCGAAACCTTTTTTGTTCCAGAAACATTTTCATCACATCACAATCAACGTCTAAAAAACATCAACATATGAAATCAAAAAATTGATGAACAAGATTGGTGGCCCCCTTCTTTGCAAAGTTCTGGTGCCATGCCCTTGAAGTCACCCGCTTGCGCTCAGCACGCTCTTCCAAGATTGCCTCCTTGGTGACGGGGTCCATATCCTCCGTCAGTTGCACCCCAGCGTATTTCCACTGACTGGCAGGAACATCCTCCCAGGGAGTGATCCAAGTTCTCAACAAACCAAACCTCACACCAAAAGAATGGTTAAATCATTGCGCAACAACAAGTTGGAAAAACACACCAGTGGATCCTCAGCAGGCAATGCATCATCACATTTCATCTTTCGGAGACGTTTGCGAGCTGGCTCTGGGGTGAGCTCTGCTGGAGCACTGACGCATTGCGATGCATCGTCCTTCACGGTCATATTCTGTTTGTCAGCATTTTCCTTGTCAGCATTCTCCTTGTCAGCATTCTGCACCTGCTCGATCACATTCGGCGTGGTCTCTTCATCCAATGCCTCTTTCTTGGTCTCTTCATCGTCAAAGAGTCGTTTGGGCTCAACCTGATTGGAAACTCTTTTGCATCAATGGTGTTGAAATGAATAAACACTGAACAAACCGTTGACTGCAAAACTATGCAGAATACAAAATCCTTTTTGTTTGTTAAGTCACCGTCTCATTCACATTGTTTGAAGACATACCATTCGAAGCGCCCCAGAAGTCGTCAAGTGCATCTGGCTGAGTATCAGGGAAAGTCGCCTCATACGGGTCGAAGAAGGCGTAGTGCTGCTTTGCTGAAACTTCATCTCCATGAAGTGGTGCTGCCAAACCCCGCACCACCTGAAGATCAACAAGTGCCCTTGCCTTGCCACCCAATGAACTTGAAAAAAATCTTCCAAACTAACAAGAAATAACAATGGAACTTGAGGGTCACAGTCAAAGTGACTTCACGTGGAAGAGGTTCAACTGGCTGAGCTTGACCAGGGACTGCTGCAAAGCGTTGCAAGTTCTCACTGAGCTT